TATGTGTATATATACTGTCAGTAATTATCATTATATACTGTATTATAAAGGAAATACAGGAACCACTGGAAGAGGAGGTACAGGAGATAAAGGAACAACCTCATGATACAAAGGTATAATGATTTGTGTTTGATTATTTTATTAAACTAACTTAATAGGAAGAGAGAGTAGCAAGACTGGAGGAGAAAGAAATAGAAGGAGCAACACCTCAATCAGTAATTAATCAAGGTATAATAATACATTAATGTAATGGTTGATGACCAGTATTATTAATTGATGAATAATTATTATATTTCAGATATACTATCAACTGATACAAGTGTGACAATAATTAATAGACAATTAATAAAAGAAATAAAAACAAACAAACAATTAAAAGAATCACTAACAAGTAAGTATAATTAAACTTTATTAATCATAATTAAAATAATGTAGAAATGAGAGTAGATGAAATTCAACAACTTCTGTCTTTACCACAAAATACTAGTTCAGGTTAGAATTGTTATTATTATTATTATTATTATTATTTGCTATTTAATATACAACATGTAGCATCATACAGAATCAGAAGAGGAATGAGAATGGAAATAGAACAATTGCAATTATTATTAATAAATAAAACTGGTACTGAATCATAATGCATGTGTTTGTGTATTTTGATGATACTATGATAGGTTTATTGGATCAGAATAAATCATTAATAGATATTAAGAGAGAAATAGCTAAAATACAAGAACAGATATCATTAATGAGCATACATATACTAAATAGAAAAGAAGAGAATGAAGATTATAGAGATGTAATAAGAGGTACACTATCATTTTTATTCATTGATAGTTATTATTTATTGATCAGAGTGGAGGGAACAACTTACATTGACTTCAATAGCTGCAAAAAAAACTGAAACTATTGAACTGAGAAATGAAGATGATGATAAAGGTATGTGTCATTATTTCATTAACTGATTGATATGTTGTATCACTGGTATATAGTTAATAAACCAACAGCAGAATCTGTTTTTATTACTCGCTATGACTATCATGCAATAAGGAGTAATGAAATATCATTCAGTGAGGGAGAGCAGCTGGAGATATATGAGAAGCAGAATAGTTCTTATTGGAAAGGAATATCCTTGGTATCTGGTGATGAAGGAAACATTCCTAGTAGTTGTGTTTACTCAATGTTAGAGTCACTTCAATTGTTAGAGTTTATACTGTCAGTGGAAGAAGTGTCCCTTCCTATTCTACAGAAGATAAGGAATGATTCATCTAGTAATGATGAGAAAGCTTCTCCTTTCTGGGAGACTATTGATGATGACACTATTATGATACCTGCACTGAGACAAGACAAAGAACAACATGATAAAAGTAATTATTTGTGATTATTGTGACCATCAGTATTAATATTCATGAACATGTACAATACATGTGTACATGCATACTTTAGGATTGTGTATAAAATTAATTCACTAACTAAATTTTATTTCAATTTTACTCTGTTCATAGTAATACATTATAACCAACACGCACATACATAATACAGTAAGTCAGTGACACTACTATAGCTGTGTCTGTATTTGTTTATGCAAGTTGTGTGTGTTTGTATATACACATGATGTGAATATGTGTATTATTATGTACATACATGTATATAACTATAATCCTTTTGTTTATATTAGGAGCCACTGGGAGAGTGAACTGGGGCAGTGACTGGGTATCCCTTGAGTCTCCATCTCCAGTTCAGTGTAATGAAGTGATTAGTAATATTAATAATAATCATGAGGTGATTGAACTCAACTGCTTATCTACTAATAGTACAGTATCTCTACTATCATCAACTAAACTGCATGCACTAAACCTGAGGAGACTTGATATATGGTGGACTCCATTAACTAATGATTGTATCCAGTACTTGTGTATACTACTAACTAATAATACAACAATACAAGAACTAGTCATCAATTTTCACTCCATTAGTGATAAAGGAGTTATTAAAATCTGTCAAGCTCTTGAACAAAACTCTACACTTACCTCACTAGGTCTTAATTATTGGTAATCCTCTCATCACTTCTACTAGTGGACCAGCTCTTTTTCAGCTCCTCCTCAATAACTCATCACTAGTTTTACCAAGAGTACATAATATTAGGGAGAGTATCCAACGCACCTATAGTAGCCTGCTACATCACGGCGTATTGTTTACATCAGTGTACTTCTTTGGTATACAGGAGTATACCATTTCACACATTAACACTAATAATAATTAATTATTGGCGTGGGAGAATTGACCACGCAATTTAAAATGGTTTTACTGGATCTAAGTGAGACTTCATTGTCTACTGAGTCAATACTACTCATCCTCCAGTCACTAATGGATAATGAGAAGATAAGGAGACTCTTTCTAGACTATCGACACAAAGAGACTTGTATTACTACTTATCCTGAATATCACCTCATACAAGACAGAGTAGACTGGTGGTATACCTAATCACTCTTCATGTGAACTTATTAATAATTCTTTTGATTCAACAATTATTATACCAATTAAGTCAGTTCATCTTCACCAATAAGCAACCAATCAGAATACACTACTTTACATGATAAAAGGTGGACCAGTGACACATTATATTATCATAAATCTAACACATGAACATCTCTTGATCTCTCATCAATCTCTCTCTCTCCTTCTCCAGTATATACTGTACATTCCTTCTCTTACTGACACACACTCATGTCACTGTCTTTCTCTTTGTTGTCATCATTTCTTTCTATTTCCCTCTCCTTTATTTCTATCTCTCCCTCAGTCTTTAATAACTTTTTTCTAGTTGACCTTCCTCTATTTCAGCAAGTCAGTCTTGTTTCCATTCTCAATATATTTCTCTCAAAAAGGAGCAGACAAAAAGAAAGAAAAAGATAAAAAATAAAAGGACATTACCAATAATAATAATAATAATAACAACAATAACAATAACAACGACAATAACAATAACAATAACAACAACAATAACAATAATAATAATAATAACAATAATAATAACAACAATAACAACAATAATAATAATAACTAATTAAAAGAAGGTCCCAGTGGCAAAGTGTCCCTAATGAGGCTAGCATTCCCCCTCTGAACAGCCCCCGAAAGACGCTGGAGCAAGTAGCTGATACTGTTGTCCTCTCCAGTATAGTGGTGAATTCTGCAGCTCAGATGGTGTACTAGCTGGCGAGACCGAGGACCCAACATTCCCAACGACTCAATGGCAAGAGGACTGAAAATGTGAGTGGTGGCCAAATTCAAATATTTAGCCACCTTGTGTGACTCTGCCAAAGCAGCCACAGCTCCAGTAGCAGTGATGGCTTGTGACCTGTAAGAGGTAGCCAAAGAGTCTGGGACAGTTGCGTCCCATACCAATGGCTTACAAAATAATAATAACAATAATAATAATATAAATTTAAATAAAAATGTTTATAAAAGATAATAATAATAATGATAATAATAATAGTAATAATAACAATAATAATAATATAATTTTTAATAAAAATGTTTATAAAAGAGATGATAAAAATAATATTTAAATATGTCTGCACAGTTCAACCAGTACACCAGAATCCTGAGAATGCCAACCAGCTGGAGAGAGAGAGAGAGACAGGAAATGACAAATTACACACACACACACACACATACCATATAAGGATGTACAATAGTATCAGTATATTGATCATCAAGAGGACATAATTGTTATACTGATAGTATTAATTATTGTATCAGCAATACTGAATATTAATTATTCACAACACAAAGCATTACTTTACAACAAGAACCCTATTTTATAGAATGACCTGTCAATTTTCCTAATTTTCTGTAATTTCTTTAAATTCTATCCACGGGTACTATTAATTTTAGAAGCAAGAGAACTTTGGGTCAGAAATTTGCTGAATTAAAAAGTGGCCATAACCCAAAAACTTTTAATTGGAAATAGCTCAAACTTTCAATATGGCATGAAGACATAAATATGTATCAGAAAATGTAATAAAAATTTTGGATGATTTCGGAGCAATTTTTTGGAAAAAAAGCATGGACTATATATACATGTACATGTATATGGTATTCAGCCATTGAAAATTTGCAAGTGAAATTGCCAAGTAAGGCACTTGTACACAAATATAAAAACTGCCAATTACATTTTACAGTAATAATGAACATGTATACATGCTTATAATTGTGGTTAATTAACTGAAATTAATTAATAAAAGGTGTGGTTGGATGTGGTAGTATTTCTAGTAATAGTATGCAATCAAGTAGAAAAAAATTAGTTAAAAAGAAATTATAAAAAAATCATGTAATGTTGCCCAACACCACTGAGGTTGGCATCCGAAAATTGGTAACAACAATCACTAGATCAGGCCGTTTCTTAACCATATCTAGCACAGCAACAAAAACAGCAGCTACTGAAGCCACTACTTTTGCTGAGAGTGACAATATCACTTTACAGTACTCCAGTATCATAGCAACTATTATTACACAATGAATTTATATTTCTATTATTCCAATCATTCTTGACTAGACTGGCACAAGTCAGCTTCCTTTTAAGCTGTGCTAAATGAAAAGGATATCGTGGGTCCAACTTTAAATTATTAATGGACAAATATGTACATGTACTATCAAAATACCACATATCAGTTACCATAGCAACACATAACAATAATGATTAAATTATATTTATAAATATTTTTTACTTTTCTCCACAATGCTTCTGCTGTTTGTGTGAGTCTTAGTAATCCAGCTTTCTTCATCTTAGGATCAACTTAATAATATCACTAATGAATAATGATAACCACTCCTAGTAATTAATAATAATAATAATAATAATAATAATAATAATAATAAATTGTAATTATTACTTCATATTTTGTGAATAAACTAGTTGATATTGATTACTGTCCTTCTGTGATTAATGATGTGAAATATTTAGCAACTGTTTTCTGTAAAGATGTCTGCCACTCCTAACAAATAAATAAATAAATAAAAATACATAAATATTAATATTTAACCTGAGAGTACAGTAACATTGTAATTTCAACAGTGCTGTTAGCTTCTGCTAGTTTCAATGGAGCTGGAAATTAATAAATAAACAAGCAACAACAAAAACAACAATACCATCACTTAGAAGGTTTCTCCCATCAATAGTTGCTAGTACTTTACTAAAAATTGATTTGTGATCAACTAACAGCTGACACTAACACCCTCCGGCTAATCTGAGACTAACACTGACCTAAGTATAATAATGGATCTTTAAAAAATTAGAATTAGCACAAACACACAATCAAAAGAACATGTACATGTATACACATACATGTACATGTACAAAATACTGTACATGTACATGTGTACGTACTTGTTCCAGAGACATCAACAGCTTCATTAAGACATACATATTATAGACTACATGTACATTAGGTAGTC